CAAGCAAAATGCGGGCCCTCTTGAGGCCGCATTCCGCCAGTAAGACGCACAATAACAGATCGTAAATTGCAATCCGACCGATCGCCCTAATGTACATTGGTACCAGCGGTGTCCATCTCAGCCGGCTAGAAAGGGGCTGTTAAGTTTTTTTAAAAGTATTTCACGCGAAAGTCAGAGAAGGACTCTGATGATGATGATGGCCAGGCTTGAGGGTTTCAAAGCCACGCAGGCTTCAAGTCTCGCACGCTCCAAGCTCCTTGTCTCAATTATAAGGGCGATAGAGAGAGAGGGAAGGTTTTGCTTTGACCATTAATTTTAATTTAAAAAGATGAATATTTTTTTTTATTTTGGCAGGTAAGCCCCACTAAGCTATATAGCTCTTTTTTAGAAGCGACCTGGCTATCACAAATGATTGACCAATGAAGTGGCTTGTCATGTTGGGGGGTGACGGGGGGGTACGGTGGGTGAGGGGATTTATAAAACTGCCCATTCCTTCACTTCCCTACAGCGGAAACATAGCAGCAACTTCCTGAAAATGAGTATTGAGACTCAGTCAGACATTCTTGGGTAAACTATTGCCTAATGATAATAAAACAATATACACACACACACTAAAAGGGCCGTACGTGTACATTGGCTCTTTAATGAGTGAAGGCTGTGAGTCTGACAATGGATAGAGAGAGTCCATCCGGCTTATGTCGCAGCGCGCAGTGCCCCCAGTCGCACGATCACTGTGCACTGCGGGGGGTTCTATCGACCGATCGACGTTGGGGGGGTGAAGGTCCACGGAGGAGCCGAGGTCGGGGCGACGAAGTCGGCAGGTGCCAGCCAGGTGGGTTACGGCCTCATCGCGGGACAGTGAGAGACGGTCGCGGTTTTGGGGGGAGGGCCTTCATCCGGCAGTGGATCGATCGTGGATTCATTCTGATGACGACGATTACGATGAGGATTTCCAAAATTCCGAACGGGTGAAATACCGGGACCTCGACCACAAGGTGGCGACCACTGTCGTGCCGCGATGCCTCCCAAATTCACCCCTCGCTCCCCTCCCCTCTTCTCCCCTCCCTCCACTCCCTCCCTCCCCCTCCCTCCCCTCCCTCCCCTCCCCTCCCATCTCCTCTCCTCCCCTCCCTCCCCCCTCCCCTCTCCTCCCCTCCCTCCCCTCCCCTCCCTCCCCTCCCCTCCCTCCCCTCCCCCTCCCTCCTCACAAACCACCTACCCGCAGAGCTGGTGGGTTGGTGGGTGATGGTGGTGAGTCGGTTAATAAAAGCCGTGTCAGAGACACTGAGCCGGCACCACCGAGACCCATGGTTCGAATCCGAGGTACTATATATACACACATTTAAAAAAAAACAGGTAATACCCACTGAGCTATTTTTCAGACGCGACCTGATTATCACACATGATAGCTTAAACGAAGAGGTTAATCACGTGGACATGTATGGCAGCCAACTACTCTAAGCGCATGTTCATTCCAGATGTGGTGGAGAAAACCGGTGGACACGGAGACAAAGCCACGCGACCACGGGGGAGAGCACGCAAACTCCAAATATACAGCACGCGTCAGGGTAGGGATGGAACCCACGACCTCCTGCATACCAGGCGAGGGGAGAGACAAAAACTCTCAATGTGTAGCCAGTTGATGGTCTCAACCGTGGACCATACACACTGTGGTCTGGGCTCCTTCAACGGAGGAGGAGGAACAGCAAGACGACACCAACTCTCTCTCTCTCTCTTTCTCCTGAAGCCCTCCCGTCGTGCTTGGCAGACGTCAACATTGGCACTGAAGCTCTTTGCCATATTTCTGCTGCTGATGCCATCATTCGCAACGATGGGCATCCTCTCGGGCGAGTATCCCTCCTTCGGCTGCCACTCCCTCGTCAGTCTCGACCGCTGGCCGCCCACGCCCGGTGCCCTTACAACTCCACGTGCACTTCTCAGCAGGTCAACGTTGACGCCATCAACGTGCGAACGGCTTCCCGCTCGCCGTGCTCCGATCTCTTAGCGGCGCGATTCCATTGCCGTTGCTTCAATTTCGGGTGGCACCTCCCCAGCCCGTGATCCGTCACTTTCGTTGTCAACGTGCCGCGCGTCTGCTCCACGCGCCGCGGGACACGGAGCGGAATCGTTACGAAAATCAGAATCCATTCGTGGGCGTGGTTGTTTTTTTTAATTTGTTTTGTTCTCGATATTTGTTCATAACGGTTTGGAATACGAAAAGTAAGGAATGCAAGGTGTGCAGGTTGCTCGATGCGATCAGGTTTTCACTTCTCACTCCACGTGTTTCCGCAACGTTTGCTCGGGCCGGCTCGGAGTAAGGCACTATCACTAGAGTGCACGATACACTCATACCCCGCGACAATCCTACATTGCTGTACCCTATATCCCTACGATCCTGCGAACGGGTTCCTATGTAAAATGGCAAAAGCAGTGGCACGTGGATGTGGCGTGGCCAAAAATAATTCCCGGAAAGTGACGTCCCCCCCCCCCCCCCGTCACTTGTTCCGGCTGGAATGACGCACGCTCTCTGCCGTGCGCGATCGCTTGCCGGCGGAGCCTCGGGTCGGGGCTCATCGCCGCCTCCTCCTCCTCCTCGTGTGGGGGTCCAGGAGAGCGCGGGCGAGGTTCATCATTGGGTTTGAAATAATTAGTAAAAAAAAATATGAACGTAAATAGGAACGTGTCCCGTGGAAAACGACGCCTCGTCGTGCCCCCCCCTCACCCCCCCCCCGTGTTCATTAACCGCCGCCTCCATCAATCAGCGCGCTGTTCACGCACGCCGCGCGCGGAGCGGTGGCGCAGCGGTTAGCGTCGCAACGCAGCGCTCGCACCGGGCGAACCGAGGTCGATTGCCGGGCCACGGCTAATTTACGTCGGTGACATCCGCGAGGCGGTTCTGGGCCCTCTCCTCTCCTTGCCCCCCACCACCACCACCACCACCTCGCGCCTCCCCACCCACCGCTTCACGCAACTCCCCCGCCCTCTCCCCAACACGACTCGCAACGGCGTCGTGGAGAGGCCGTTCATCCAGCAGTGGACTAGGCAAAGGGCTGTACGTGCACCGCGCAAACATCGGGGAGTCCAAAGGCGACCCGTCGTGTGACGTGCTAGCCCGATAGGTGCTCGCTACCCACCGCTTGCCCCAACAGTCGGTTTGAGGCTATACGGGGAATCTTTGTCTTCGGCGGTGACTCAACCCTGAACGGGGGGGGGGGGGTAGGGGGGTTGAACTCATGGCCTTGCCCTAGGAAGCCGTGAATCGAGGAGAGACCGGCAATGCGTCCGTGCAAACCCGGGCGCCGGACGCTGTCCGTCATGGAGATGTCAAACAGAGCCAGTCGGGGTGACCGGATGGCTCGGTGGGGTCTCTTCATAATGGCCGCGTCCGAGACACTGAGCCGACAACGCCGAGATCCTGGGTTGGAGCCTAGGTTGGAGCCTGGATTAGAGTCTGGGGGTTGGAGCCTGGGTTGGAACCTGGGTTGGAACCTGGGTTGGAACCTGGGTTGGAACCTTGGTTAGAGCCTGCGTTGGAACCTGCGTTGGAGCCTGGGTTGGAGCCTGGGTTGGAACCTGGGTTGGAGCCTGGGTTGGAGCCTGGGTTTCGGTTTCCCGTTATTAAAGCGGGTTCTAAACTGTGACAGAGTTCACGGTTTCGGGGTGGTCGTTAAGAACGCAACGAAGTGATACCTGCACAATGATGTATTTTCAATTTCACGGCGCTTTTGTCAATCCACTACTGGACGAATCCCTACCCTTGCCGTGCGTCATGGGGGTTGTTTTGGCCATACTTCACCACGCTGGGCGATGTGGGTTGTTGAAGGGGGTGGGGTAACCCAAGACCCCGTTCGGATAACACTCGGCACTGATGTCAGCCGGGAATAAAACTCAGACGGCAGGTTTCGTAGCGCAGCGCGCTAACCGCTGCACCACCGCTCCCCATGCGACATATCAAGACGAAGATCCCCCGGTGTAACCTTGACAGACTGCTGGGGCAAATGTTGTTAGCGAGCAGCACCTATGAAGGCCGGAACGGCACAGGAGGGGGTGGGTTGGCCAGCACCACGCCCGGCTCCGCCTTTGTCGCCCAAGTGGCGATGTTGACTACACCCTGCACCAGGTACTCATTTGAGGCTGAGTCAACATAGGGGATGCCCAGCACCGGTGTGAGATAATCGTCACTGGTGTTGGTGCCCGTGAGCTAAAATCGAACCCAGCGCGCTAACTGCTGCAGCAGCGCTCCCCGCACAACAGAGCTCTATATAGATACACACACACACATTTTCCGTTCACAATGAAGGTTGTTGTTGGGTTAGATCGCGTAAATATAAATGTGTCGTTAAACCCGCCACCACTCGACACAGCCAATTAGTAAGAGTTGTCACGTAAATAAATAAAAAGTGCCAAAATAGTTACCACTTCCTGCACGCCGGTGCGTCGGACATTGAACCCCTGACATTCACAATTCGAGTCCCGTGACGTTCAAGCTGGTGATTACGAGCAGCAGCCGCATCAGGCGATGGCCAGAATGCCCTGCGGCTCGCGTTCGGGCCGGCGCGTTGCATTGCCCTCCGCGGAGCAAACCCGAGAACAACGAAACACGAAAAACAGAAATGAGATGAATTGAACCACAAAGGATGGGGCCATCAGATACCCGCGTTGCCATGGAGGCGGTTACCGTGGTGACGCAGCGACGCACGCGCAGTGGGGGGGGGGGGGGGGGTAGGTGGGAGGTAATTTGTCGCCGTCGATTACGGCAGCCCGTCCCGCACCTGCTCCGAGATAATCACGGGGGATTTTATTTATTATTTTAGTTATTCGTGCTATTTATTGTTTGACTTATAAAAATATATAGTATTTAATTTATTATTTTACTTATTATTTTATTCAACGCCCCCGGCTTCTTTTTTTTTGCGTGCTCTGACGCGGTGCAATCTGAACCCCCCCCCCGCGCGCGCGCGCGCGCGCGCCCCCGCCCTCTGGCCCCCGCCCACACCACGTGACAACAAAGCCAGAGATCACGACCACCCCGACTCACCCCACCGCCGGATCGCCGATGGACAAAGCGTTGGGTGCAAGTGCTGTCTGCGAACACCTATTAAGATCGGAGCGGCACACGAGAGGGTGGGTGGCCAAGCACCACGCTCGGCTGTTTATCTTTCATTTAATGCTGAGTCGACCTAGGAGGTGCCCAGCACCGGTGCAGACATTCGTCGCTGACGCCACCCGTGAATGGCAACCCACCTCGGGTCGCCTGGTGGAGCGGCGCACTGCGCTAACCGCTGCGCCACCGCTCCCCAACATGCATAGACACGCGCACACCCACACGTACCACGATCGTCCACGCGCCCCCAACCATCCCACCCACGTCCAAACATTCGACCCTTGCCCCCTCGTGATCATCCACGTAACGCACACCCCGCTCATCGCATCACCTCCCACAGCCTGCACGCAACCAGGACACAGACAGGACACAGACAGCACACAGACAGCACACAGACAGCACACAGACAGCACACAGACAGCACACAGACAGCACACAGACAGCACACAGACAGCACATAGCAGCACACGCGTGCGTTAGCACGCGTCCCACTCTACGCGGCACTCCGCCATCCGTGCAGCGCGCCGCACGCGCTGCATGAAACACTCTCAGGCACTGCAAGCGGGCAAGGCGGGGCGCTGACGCAGCCTCCTCCTGCTGCTGCCGTGTAGCCTCGCTGCTCAGGGCATCAGGGCTGCTGCGTCGGAAAACTCCCGGGCGCTCTAACACCCGCACGTTCCAACTCCCGCGCTCCAACTCTCGCGCTCCAACTCTCACGTGCTCTAACACCCGCGCTCCAACTCTCGCACGCTCTAACACCCGCGCTCTAACACCTGCGTCCTCCAACTACCGCGCGCTCTAACACCTGTGCGCTCCAACTCTCGTGCGCTCTAACACCTATGCGCTTCAACTCCCGAACGCTCTAACACCTGTGCGCTCCAAATCCCGCGCGCTCTAACACCCGCGCTCCAACTCTCGCGCGCTCTAACACCTGTGCGCTCCAACTCCCGCGCGCTCTAACACCTGTGCGCTCCAACTCACGCGCGCTCTAACGGCCACGATATAGCGATGAGATCAGGTGCCGGGTAGAGATGGATTGTCGCATCGCAGCATAACGCGCGTAATAATGAAATGCCGACGGCTTGGGAAGACCTTCAATGAACAGTGGCTAGCAAATGGCTGCTTGCGGGTGCTGCTGCTGCTGATGATGCTGCTGGTGCTGCTGATGATGCTGCTGCTGCTGATGATGCTGCTGATGCTGCTGCTGATGATGCTGCTGGTGCTGCTGCTGATAATGCTGCTGCTGATATTCCACGATCAGAGTTGACCACGCGAGCGCGCTTCTAAGCCGGACGTCGTAGACCCGTGGGGTCGCGTGGATTTAATCGGCCACGTGGGTTTAAGACGCGGGAGGCTTTTCATTTAGCTGCTGCTGCTGCTTCTTCTGCCGCGGCTAATGGGGGTTCATTGTCTCCCTGTCTGCGCTCACAGGGCCACGCATGGCGCGGCCATCCCCGAGAAACCTCTTGATCCGTTCCTTTCTCCATCGCTGTGCCTGTGCGTCCGTCCCACCGTTCGACTGTCTGTCTGTCTGTGTGTCTGTCTGTTTGTTCAAGTGTAGCGTGGTTAGCGGTCTGCGCTACGAACTCAGCAACCCGAGTTCAATTCCCGCTCACGGCCAACACCATTGAGGATTATTTAAAAAAAGGTCATGGGCCTCCCCTAGGTCAACTCGGCCTCAAATTAGTACCTGGTATGGCTGTAACATCACCACTGGGGAGACAGAGGCGGGCCGGCCGTGGCGTTGGCCACCCACCCCCTCGTGTGCAATGCCGGTCTGTTCATAGGTGGTACTCGCTAACAGCACTTGCCCCAAAAGTCTGTTAAAGGCGATGCGGGGAATCTTAGTCTTTGTCAAGTCCCTTCCACGTATTTTCATCTGTAGGTTAGTTTGTTCGTCTGTCCGTCTGTCCGTCTCTGCAGGTGTGTGGTGAATCCGGGGCGACCGCCCTGGGCCCCCCTCTTGGGGGGGGGGTGGGCTGCGCTTCGACGTCACAGCAGGGCCCGCACGTTGTGATTTGCCCCGCACTCCCCCTATAGACCGCCCTGCGTCTGTGTGACTCTTCACATGCGTATGTATCTGCATGTTTCCCTGTATGTCTTATCCATCCTTCCGTCCGTCCGTGTGTTAGCCGATGTTTGTCCAGAACAACGACCTGTCCGTCTGCCTCTCCGTTCCTTCGCCGGTCCGTCTGTCCCGACGCTCCCCTGCTTTGTCCGTCTGTCCTTCCCGTTTCTCAGCGTCCATCTGCCCGTCAGTCAATCCCATTCATCCGTGCTATCCGTCCTCTCCGTCCGGTCAGTATTCAACATCCATCACCCCAATGCGTTACACATCTCAGAGGCTCACACCGAGGGGGGTGATATCGCGAGCGTTAAGGATGGAGTACGGAGCTGCATAATTCATAAGAGGGCGCGATTTCGGCTGTGATTGGAAGCATTCGGGCTGCATCTCTCCACGCGATTAATTTGGGTCCCTTGCTGATGAGTTGGGTTGGTGTGACCGCCCCCTCCCCTCTGTCCCCCCTCCTCCCCTCTGCCCCCCCCCCGCCCTCCGCGCCCCCCAGATGTGTTTATGACACAGCCACCGATGGCAATTAGCGGCGTAAACAATGAAATGCAGGTGATGCTGTTATAAGGCGGCGAGAACGATTGTTACGTATGATGAACTTATTTCGCACCGTACGTAGCCAAACATGCCCATTGGAGATGCGGGGACGAAGGACAATAAACTGAACACAAACGTCTGCGCTAAAGACATGAGTTTTCAATCTCGGTGCTCCTAGTGGCTTTCCTAATATCGGCAGGAGGA